GGTTGGCAGGTGTGATTTATCAAGGAAGTCGGTAACTGAAGCTAACCTATTATATTGCCCAAAAATCAATGCACGCGTTTTTTTTTTATACCATAGTCTATTGATGTTCGTTTTGGTGTACGGACCCCAACTTACACTTATGTATTCCAGGATAGGGAGTGCAAAAGTTTTGTATGCTAGTAATTTAGTATCAGGAGCTGCCTGTCGTAATTTGCGTCTTAAGACCCATAGTTTTCTGGAATCTGTATTTATAACAGGAGCTATATATTTGTCTGATTTTAAATTGTAGGTTATGCGTAGGCCTAGATAAGTGCATTCGTAAATCAGAAGCCGTTGAAGTACGATTGAAGTTAAAGCAAGTAGGAAGGCGAGCTGGTTAAGGATAGACGTGGTAAGCCTGGAGCGGGGGGACAAAAAAGGGACGTACAGACACGAAACTCCGAAACTCCGAAGTTTTGTGTCTGTCCGGCCTTTTTTGTCCCCCCCTTCTCTCTCCCTCCCCCCCCCCCCCCCCCCCCCCAAGGCTATTTTGTCTGGCCAGAACCAGTGTTTGTTTGCCGATGTGGTATGTAAAAGTGAAGGTTGTTTCTTATGGGTGATAGACATAAATAGTTTTCTCTTTGTTGGGTACCATTTGCCAATCTTTGCACCACTTTGATATTGTCACGAATGACAAGTGATGAGGCGGCGAATGACTGAGTAAACTGAACGTTTAATGGGGCGAACTTGTGCCCACAAATAAGAAGGAAACAGACGATAACAGCAGAGCGTCGCGGGCGTTGAAGTCAGCGTAACAGCAGCGTCGAACGCTGGGACGAGACTGACTCGACAAGGTCGCGGGCGGCCTCTTATCTAGAGTGCGTCATTATCTCGAAGATTTGGCAAAGAAGTCTCGAGCATCGCGCGCTAGGGGCGAGAATGAACACGCACTTTATAAAACAGAAAGCAGAGATAAATGATAGAAGTTACATCCGGAGCAAGAATAAACGAGAACCTTCTAGAAGTCCGTGACCGAGCGTTGCTTTCTCGGCCCTGTCCGCGGCAATATATCCTGTGGCTCTAAACTCGTCAAACACAAAGTGTTTGACGAGTGAAACTTTCGGCTCCAACGTTGTGTTTGACGCGTTTAGGGCCCCTGGAGGCTATTATTTAATTTGAGATTATCATCTGGACTTTTGATTTCATGGTATAAAATGCAATCGTCGGCATGCAATCCTAAATTAACATTAATTTTAGTGGCGATATCATTAATAAATAACATGAAAAGCAGCTTTCCCAAGACAGATCCCTGTGGTACCCTGGATTCTACATTTGCAATATGAGATGCAGTCTGGTTAAACATCATGTACTGCCCCCTTCCCATCAGAACATCCCCAGTCTAGTTTACAATCTGATCGTTCTTAAGCGTCGCGCTTAGCTTTAACAGGAGCTTCGGGTGAAAAACCTTATCAAAGACTTTGGAAAAGTCAAGGTAGACGACATCAACTTGACCTCGGCGATTGATGATTGAAGAAAAATTGTGCACTGTTTCAACTAACTGGGTTATTGTTCAAAACCCAGTTATAAAGCCATGTTGTGCATTTTACAATACTTCATGTTGCGTGACGTATTGAACAATATGTTTAGCAATGATATGCCAAGTAATTTACAACTAATACACGTTAAAGAAATGGGGCAGTAGTTAACTCCTTAATGAGGGTCGTTTGATTTGTATATGGGCTTTACGATCGCAAGCTTCCAATCAACCGGCAATCTCGAAGTTTCGAATGACGTTTTGAAGAAACAAACAAATATTTTGAAACTCATTCCGCGTAGCGTTTGAGGAACATCTGGGGATACCATCTGGGCCACCGCATTTTTTAACATCATAGTTACATAATAATGGAAAAATACCTGCGTTGTTGGCAGTAGTGTTCTCGAGACCTGGTAACTAAGAGGCTGTCGTAGTCAGGCACATTGCCATTATCTCTTGTAAACACGGAATAAAATTGATCACCTAAAAGAATAGCAATTTCAAATTCATCATCAACTACACAACCATTGCTAACAAGAGAGGAACAATTTTTTTTATCTATTGGGTGCACTTATATGCCGCCAGAATTTCTGAGGTGCAGTTTTTTATGAATGATGAAAGAGGAACGATATAATACATTTATTTTGATTCGCGTATCGTTTCTTCAAGTTTCCTGCTACAAGAAAGATAGAATGCTCTGGTGGAAAGGGGGCCGGATCGCTTCCAAGGTTTCTGCGATCTGTTCACTTTTTTTATGTGTATCACTTCCCTCGTGATCAATCGGTTATGCTTTCTTATTTTATTTCACTTTTTTTCGATAAGCAACATATTTTGAGGCGCATCGAGTAACAATGACTAGAAAAGGTTTCCATAACTCATCTACGCAATCTGATGTCGCCGATAGAGATACAAAGTCCTCATACTCAAAAACCAATTCGTCAATAATGGCGTTATCGTCGGCACTATTGATGTTCAACACTTTAAGGTTTGTTTCTGTAGAAAGCACAACGTTATCAAAGTTAGTAACACCGCCATATGATCGGATAGTCCGTCAACGATGTCACATTCGTATCCGTCAGCACTAGCACCGGTTGACAAACAAATTAGGTCCAAGATTGAACTGCAATCACCAACTGCTCTGGTATTTCTGTCGACAATCTGACAAAGACCGTAAGAAAAATCATTATCTGTTAGTTCCTCGCGGTTTTTAGCCTCGCTGCCTCCATGCGTTAGACAGGCGCAATCAATTCCTGCCAAATTAAATTATCCACCAATTATGCCTTTTTTCTTTCTTGTTAGTACCTTATCGATACACATTCTTGGTTCCTCTAAAACCAAGAGAGGTAAATTTGCAGATCTATAAACGGTTGCAAAAATATAAGACGAGTTTCCGAATTCGACACTGCACCAGACAGATTCAGTAGCGTTGGCGATATGAACCTGCCGGTAAGTGATACCAGACCTCAGTATAGTTGCTACACCTCCTCCTCGTGATCCCTGAACTTTACGCATAATATTATAACCCGGTGGTAGGATTTCGGAATCCTGAATTTTATGATTCAGCGAGGTTTTTGTTAGAATAAGTATCTATGGGCAGTATTTTAAGTAGTAGATGTTCCAGGCTCAGTTACTTTGTTCACTATTCTGTGGGCGTTAAGAATCATGATGATTAGCGGAGTCGAATTGCGTTCCCGTGCTCGTCATTGCTTATCTCGAGGCGAAATATTTACTCTCTCTCTCTTAGCTTCGTTTACACCAATAAATCTTGTCATCGATTATTAATTGATCAAAACTGAGTTTTGCTTTATTGTTAGCGGCCCCGTTTTCTGCTGAACTACTCCACAATTTCTTTCGGAGGTCTTGAACGTTGCTGCGAGAGCAATCATCCGACATTGATATCCTGGAACCTTTGCTTTCAGTTTCTTTGCATTATTAAAAATTAAGCTTTTTTCCTTGTAGTCAAGCAGCTTTAAAATGACCAATCTAGGTCTTTCCATTGTCCTTCTTCCCAGTCTGTGGCATCCCTAGATACCAGTGACGCAAACGCCTAGGTTATCTTTAAAAATCGTGAGGGTTTCAATATTACGCAGACCTTCGGAAGATATACCTTGCTCTTCCTGGATCCAAGTCTCAGGAAGACATCATCGTGAACGGTTTTCCAAGCCACTAACTTTTCGAGCAAGAAAAGCAGCAGTTTCCTCAAGTTCGGTTACCTTGCCTTTAGTTTCCGTCAACTGCTCAGTATAGTCTTGTTTAGACGGCCGACCTTGGTCTCAATTGTTGTCAGTCTGTTTTCAGATGACGATTACTAGCGATCGATAGTCATTTTTTTTTTTAATTTGGGCTATTTAATTTGAAATTGTTTTTTGACCTTCGATGAGTTCTTTGATTTCAGTAAGGGGTCCAGGGTTACTTTCAATGTCCCCACAGAGCGAGAGAGGTTCGACAAATGCCGAACAACATTCTCTTAAAAGATCTGCACACTTTTGGCAGAGGGCAGCATCACAAGGCTCACATTATTACTTCTGTAACTTCAATAAGGCGCGGATCTCACCTGAATGAAGAACATACACCGTTTTGGCATCCTGACATGCTTGCTGCCACCTCACCCCTTCTTGGGATCGCGGCGCGGGCGATAACGGTCATTAAATGACTATGTATTGTTGAACCAGTGCGTTGTGTCATTCTCCGAGATGGCTAGCAACAAACCTACTTTAAGTAGTACTTCGAGTAAAATGTACTTAATGTACTTCCCGGCTGCCTAAAGCCTATTGTTTATCGACGCAATAAAAATTTAACTCAACATTTTTTTTTTTTTTTTCAGTGGAGGAGTGTTCCAGTTTTTTGTGCGCTTGATGTAATCGAGCCCACAATAAGGTTTTTGAGAGATAGTGAAAGTGTACCTGTGGAAAAAAACAAAACATGAACCAATATTTTGATGGTGTTGCTTCAAGAAAACTAATAAATAAATGTTAATCACAAGAAAAAACAGTAAAAAAAAGACACGAGGACAAGTAGGCGAAAGACACAAACACTGCCCTGTTTGTGTCTTAGACATTTCAGCCCTGGCGAGTGGGGACAAGGAGGACAAACACGACACTGTGTCGTGTTTGACCTCCTTGTCCCCACTCTCCAGGGTTAAAACGTCTATATTCAACCAGCTCGTCTGCACCCTTGCTTTAACTTGTGTCTTGTCCGAATCGCGTGTCTTTAGACTCCCGCATCTCTGCCACAGGTGCCGCCTCGGTGGCTCCGAGGCGAGAGCGCCGGCCTACGGGTCCCCAGGTGGCGGGTTCGAATCCTGACCGAGGTGCCCGCAATATGACGGAGGCTTATTGCGGAGAAGGCGCCGTGTAACCGAGCTTTCGGTTGCACGTCAAAAGATCCCCAGGTGGTCAAAATTAATCCTCAGTCCTCCGCTGGGGCGTGCCAAATGCCCGTCGTAGGTTTGGCACGTAAAACCCCCAAATTTGACTTTCTGCCACAGGTGCAAGACGCAACTATGGACGCTGCCGGCGTCGCTCCTCCTGCTAGTCCTCTTGGTCCGGAGTTCTTCGGCAAACAGTCTGATGAGGCCCGACGCCCGGATGCTGACGTCATCGTTCCTGCGGTCCTTCTGGAAGAGGGCGTCACTGCGTGACTCCCCAGTCTACTACGTCAGCACGTTCCTGAGGAACAAGAGTCCTGCCCCATCACAGGCGCAGGCGGCGTCCATCTTGTCGCCCCTCTTTAAGCTTCCCATTGAGTTCATGTCCAATGCCAGGCCGCTTGAGGTACGTGCAATTGTGAGCATGCCTATTAGGGATGTGCAACTGCAACACAATGCAATACCACTGCTTTCATTTCTCATCAAATTGATGGCGCAAAGCAGCGTGCGAAAAAAAATAAAACTAAAGAGAGATTATTTATATTCTTCGGTATTTAAAGAAATGCTACGATTGCCACAATACTACACTATTTGATTCGAACCACTCTTCGCACACTGTATTTTTGTCTTTTTTTACATTTTTAATGACTCCAACGCGAAATGACAGCCATGGCAACATACCGCAGACTTGAGTGGTAGCGACGTGCCTAGGTGGCGCTAGCTACCGCCCGTTATAAAGGGTACAGCCGTTAGCATCCACCCATCCATCCATCCATCCCTCCAAGTCGACTGCTCACGCAGTGATCGTATATGTCCCAGCCGTGAGCTACTGGATTCAGCTGACATGTTTGAGTACCGGCGATGAACACCTCCAAGATAATAAGACACTAGTGCTGGGTTTCTTGCGTCACCTAGCGAAGGCCTTCGGCTGCGACACCTCGTGTTCAGTTAGTGAGGACTGGAATCCTCCGGCGCAGCATTCGTGTCGAATCTGCGCCCCGGGTTGGCCTTCTTTGGGTGACGTCGAAAGTTCACCACCGCGGCTTCGTTATCTAGGTGTTGGCTTCGGTCGCCTCCACCCACATGTAGCCATTAAAGCTCAAGTACTGCTCACTTTCCGCCTTCATGTTTGCTACGCGACCAGACTTGTACTAGAATCATTACGAGTAATCAAATTACTCGTAATCGATTACTTTTCGGAATAATTTAGTAATCATTTAAATGCATTTATTAGGAAGGAATCGCGAGAGTTATATGATCACTTTTGAAAGTACTAAAGTTACTTGTAACTTACTAGTTTTCCTCTCCCTTCCTGATGGCGTAGTTTGTTTGTACAAGTTCCCCAGCAAAAGATCCTTGAACCAAGTCTTCCATAAACGAAGGTCTACCAAAATTGGTGGATTAATGCCCCTGTCAGGACGGCACGTTAAAGGCCTTCAGCATAAACTCCTTTAAAGGGAAGCAGCTCGCGCTCTCGCGCCTAACGGCGTGCGATGATTCGCCGACCCTTTAAAGAAGTTCGTTCTGAAGGTCCTTCACGCGCCCGTGTGACAAGGGTATTATAAGATGGGCCGTTTATAATTTGGTGATTCTAATTCAATAATGGACGGCAGGAAATTCCCGTTTTCAATACCGCGCGTGAAAAACGTTTCGTTTTGAACATCTGATGTAATCGGAAAAGTAACTATTACTTCCTTCAAGTAACCGCCAGCTACTTTTCTTCTGAAGTAATCGAGTAACCTAATTAAATACTTTTCCTCAAGAGCAATTGTTAATGTAAACAATCACTTTATATCGAGTAGCCTGTACAGGATTAACTACGTCCCTGCTGACTGGTGGCGAGACACACGCGCCTATCCGCCGGCCAAACAAATACCAGCCAACTGGCTCGCTCCTCGGCGCGGTGGCCTACCCACCGTGACGTCACGGAGCAGACGCCTAGGTTTTATCTTTCTAATGTATAGCTTGTGAGTTTCCTGTCCTGTACTTTATGTTCCCCGTTCGGCATCGTGCGACATCAAAGCTCCTATAAACAATTCTTTGATGCTACCGGCTTGTTAGCGTGCACGAGCGAATGGCCCACGTCAATTGTCACCGCGTCGTCGACTAACAATCGTGATGGACGCTCCAGGCGCGACCTCTGCACGTGACGTCGTCGCGTGTCACCTCCCGCTTGACCGTGACACCTTTCGAGTCTTGGAGTGTCGGGGTCGTCGCTTTCGTTAAGCGCTTCTGTGTTTCTCTCGACACCTTTTGTATCTCCGCGAGCGTTCTGGCTGTATTCGCGCCATGTTCTCCAAGGAAATGCGTTGAGGATCGTGGTGTAGACTACCTCGAGACCGAAGTAAGGTACACAGAAGATTAAGAAGTGGAAGAGAACAATGTGACGTGTTTGGCTAGTTGGTTTGAGGTGAACATCTTGGGAAGCGCCGTCCTGTCGTGTATGTTTCTTTGCTCTTGTCCAAGTTTCCTTGCCGCTGTTTCTTCCCAAGATGTTGAAGTGGAAGAGACTAGGGCTGTGCATCAATTACAGAAACTTATGACTGATTGATAGGTCATTCTTATTCGATTATTTCATAAGTTAGCCGGTATAACCTCAGAGCCGATAGAATCGCTGAAGTATTGCGAAATTATAAATCTAGCGCTACACATTCGAAGAACACGAATGCTGGGATTCGTATAGAGCAGCGATGCAGAAACCGGACCTGTTCATGGAGCAGTTTAATATTTTTTGCGTAATTAAAATGCCACGGGCTGACGGCAAAGAGAAGAGAAGGAAATGCTAACACATCTTTGGCCGGTATCGAATTGCCAGTTACCAAGCAATGTATTGAAGTAATTGAAAATAACGAGTTACGGAACAAAGTCTTAGGAACAAAATTGACATCAAGTGGAAATTACTTTTATTTTATCCACTATTCTCACAGTTATAGCAACGGGCATTCGAAAACGTGGCGTTGCGGTGAAGCAGAAGTCTCGTCACTGAGTACATTCTTGGTGTTTGATTGGATGGTGACGAAATTAATGCTCGTTACAACCCTACAGAAATGTCTACTTTCGTCCGCGATTGGTCGGTCAAGACTCCGCGATCCATGCATCGATTAATTCATTGGCAGATCAGTCGATTAACTGGACAGCCCAAGGAGGTACTGAGATATTGGAGAGTCAGACAAACAGACAGATGGTCTGTTTCTCCATACGACTTTATCTGTTTCTTTTCTCAGACATTTTCATGTTTGAACTTCTCGTCTTCCTCAGCCCAGTCTCAGGTTATTATTCATCACGATAAAGTTCCACCAGCTCCCCTACATACTGCACTGTTTTTCTGTTGAGACTGTTTTGCTTTATCTAAGCCTCAATACGAAATCAAATCCAAAATTCTTATTTAGGAACTGGGGCTTGATTAGCTTCGCTGATTTAAAAATAAAATGGAGGTAGCTGTATTTTTTGTTTATTTGTTTACAAATAGGCTTACATCGTTGTTAGGTATTATTGCAGAGGGGTGGGGTTATAAAGAAAAAAAGAATGGTTCGTCAACCTATCTGAAATGCAACAAGAACAATATATATATATAACCTCATCTAGCATAGAAGCATTATACATAAAAACCACATTGATTAAAAAAGACAAAAAAAACTTTCCATCCACAACGACTGGAACGCGTCTTCCTACCGAACGCATGTCGAACAACCGTATCAGAAACAATTTTGAAAATTAGTCAAGAATACATCAGCAAAATAGGTTTTGCACGTATTATATTTTCGAGTAGTCATTGTGGAAACCAGAGCTTCGTCTGTCTGACTCTTTCAAACTGGTTTTCCACAAGACAAATGAAAGCGAGGTAACGTTATGAAGAAAAAATATATTAATAAAAGACTCGAGCATAAAGACAAAAGGGAGAGGTAAACGTTTCTAGGTGTTTACTTTTTGTTTTTATGGGTGCCCCTTACAAAACACAAATATGTGGAGAAAAAAAGTAGCCGACATAAATAAGGAAGCATCGGCCCATAAAAGCGAGCGGAAGTATGGAAATACCACCAAATCTTTCGATTTTTTAGCCTTTCTGAGTACCCAGATATTAGACATAAAATAATCATAATCGCCGAATGATTAAAAAAAAAAAAGCTGTTTTAATTTCCTTTTTTTTTTTTTCACACCGATCCGTAGGAAACTTATTTATCGCATACTAAATGATCTTTCTCCGTAAACATTTCAATTCAAAATCCATCAATTTAACAAACTGTTATGGTTTTTTTTTTCTACTTTCGGAAGGAGGCGCTGGTTATTTTGGTAACTCACTTCTGCTTCAGAAAAACGCCAGTGAAATTACTATCGTGCCAAAGGCTTAGGTAGTTATCACCCGAAACATACCACTTTGCAATCGCTATTTTGGAACTAAGAATACGTTGTGAATACATAATACCGCCTGGCCGTTAATCGCCTTGATCCGTAACGACCCCTCCGTAAATCACGAAGAGCCACCGGTCATCGCATCCCCTTGCAATAGACCACAGGCAAAGCCACGAATCGCCAAGTCCAATTACGAGCCACTATTAAAAAAAAACGCTTTGTACGTTGTTTAGACGCGCACACCGGAGATACGCACTGATACGCACGTTGGAGCAATATACCACGTGGTTTCTACACTGACTCGTAATTGGACTCGGCAACATGTAGTACCTCAAGCCGTAGCAAGATAAGGCGAAGTGTAGGAAGTCACGAAGCAAACCGGGAGCGACCCAAATTAGGTAATGACGCGGGCGGTGTTGGAACGTCGCGGCCTTGTATAGATAGCCTGGAGGAATTCTCTTCTATTCTAAGGCCTGCTGCCACAACATCACTTCGTTCAACACCTCTAGAATCCGGGTCCCTCCGAAAAAAGAAAAGGAAACAAAATTATTTACATAAGCGGCGGCTTCGCTCGTTTGGTTGGCAAGCCAAACGACTAAGAACACATCGTCGCCAGCCACCCCGTTCAGCTCTAAGCTGACAGTGCGATGGGAGGAACACACCCGCCGGACCAATCAAATGCCTCCCTTGCCTACCCTGCCCCACTCCCTGATGGAGGAGAGCGTGATCATGTGGCCTAAGACGACTGTTCGACGAACACATGTAGCTCAACCACACTGTCAGCTTAGCGGAAGAACGGATAATATATGGTGGATGGTGCCTCGCCGAGGATATATCCTTGAAATCAACCGGGCGGCACAGCTCGCGGCTTGTCCACGAAGACGCCCCAACTAAAAGCTGCGTGCTGATGAGTGCCTTTCTAATGGCGCCCGGTGAAAAAAAAGAAAAAAAAAAAAGACTCTTTTTCTTGTTTTACTATTCACTGGCGCTGCGTCTCAAGCAATGCCGCCCATTGATTACGTTGTGCGCTTTGTTCAGAGCGCGTCGACCGAACGGCCGTGGTTGTGCAAGACGCGTCGACCTGTCTTGAGACTAAAACGGACCTCAAGGTCTTTGAGCAGCGGCCGAGCGCGGTTATGCAGCGTCTAATCGGAGGAGACGGTTGACCGTGGGCTGTCGTATGGCACCGACGACCTCGCAGATTTCAGCCGCTTCCGGAGTCCTTAATCCATCTTTTCTACATTTCTTTTTTTTTTTTTACTTCTGGCAGCCTGGCAACTTTTTTTTTTTTTGTCTATATGCGAGGTGAAACTTTGGCACATGTGTAGAATCGTATATGCTCTGCGATGGAACGTTACTTGTTTTCAGCGGTTGGTTCTGAGAGATTTCGGCATCATAAATGGGCGCAGTGCTCATTACGTGTACATAAAAAACGGCATTTATCGGCATATATCGGGGGTTATTCATCATATCCCCGAAAAGGCAGCGCAACAAGTGCCTTAAATTTCATGCTTCCCGTGTCCAGGCATTTTTTTTTTTACTTAATTGTAGTTATTTCGCCGCTTTTGGTCATCCTGAAACATTTATAAATGGTTTGTCACACGACCAAAGGTCAGCGGCTATCGTTATAACCTGTTTCGAAAAGCAACCACAAAGTTTCCGAAATTCTTAACCCCCCCCCCCCCCCCCCCCCCCCCCACCTTCCCCTCGTCCCTTCATCGTTCTTTCACAATATGAGCTGCAGTATTCGGTCTGAGCTTTTGATACGTCTGTTGTCCACAGAAACTTCATTATGCCTTGATTTCTCAAGTGTTCCAAAGAACGCCATCTAAACTCTGTGGTCCAGCCCGATCTCGCTCCAAAGCTCGTCCAGAAACTGTCAGATGTACCAAGGAAGCATGTAGGACTTGTTGTAGTTCACCATTAACCGCAATAATATCTTCATTTTTTTCCTTTCTTTATCGATGGCATTGCGAGAGACTTTTTTGTGACATCGGGAAACATTTTGTTTCCTTATTCCATCTTTCACGTAAATACAAGTTTAACAATCTTCTGCAAAATCAGCCCTAAACTACCAATAAAAAAAAACACCGCCACATAAAGATTCCCTCAACAACCAAGGGGAAACAAAATTTATTTATTTATATACATCGAATATTAGTTCCCGAGTGTAACACAAAACAAGATTGTAAGAGTCAGAGGTATTTGCAGAATGTGGTAGGTATTTATGTACTCGACCCGTGAGTGTCCCCCCCCCCCCCCCCCACCCAAAAAAAAACAAAAAAAACTGTGGGTTTTTTTGTTTTTTTTTTTGGGGGGGGGGGGATAAACAGGCTATGCATCGCAAAAGCTCAAACTCCGTGAGTGAGAATGTGAAGCTGGCGGTTGAGATAGAACGCGAAAGTTTGAGAATATGACGTCGCCTCGATTAAAAGATAATCAAGAAAAACTAAATTTCTCTATGAGCCGACGTCCACCTAAGCCTAAGATCGGCTAAACAAGATATGATATTGTGAACCAATTTCTATGAGTGTATAAGTAACTTGCCAGCAAGAAATATAATATTCTTTTCTTTTTTTTTTTCTTTTTTCTGACAAGTATGTTTCACCGAAATAGACGCTACAGGCGCCCACAATGTCATTTCTTTTTGTTAACGAAATTAGACTTAGGTGGACGTCGATCTATAAAGAAAATTCGTTGTTCTCGGTCATTTTTGATCCAGGTAACGTCGTGTTCTCAAACTTCCGCATCCTGTCACAACCGCTAGCGTCAAGTGCCATTCACACATGCAACCGAGTAAGACCGAGAGAGTCCAGATCGGTTTTTAAGCCTTTTGCGACTTCTTACTACCGCATGCGCTGCAGCGGAGCTGGTCTTAAGACGTCGCAAAAGGCTTAAAAACCGGCCTGGTCTCTCTCGGTCTTACTCAATGGCATATGTGTGAACGGCGCTTCACATTCCCATGGAGTTTGAGCATTCTGCGATGCATAGTTTATTCACCCGGGCCAAAAAACACGGTTCTCGTTTCTCGGGAGCTCCCTGTAGAATTCCTCACATTAGCACATTTCGTTTTTCCTGTTCGACGTCTGTTACAATCGTCCTACCCACTATGATCCCTGACAGCTCAAGAAACGCAAGGTTATTATGTTCGTGCTTCGTGATTGGCTCGTTGGCGCTCTCATCGGCCTTCTCATTGGCTGCAGGGTGATAATTAGATGCTCGGGGCGCTCTACGCCCTGCGTTACCTAATCTATCAGTCACATTTCTAGCAGAGTCATGGTTCTCTTCGTTCCTCTCGCAGGTGGTCAAGGGCATCAACAAACCATCGTACGGAAAGCCGTTTAGGAAGCAGTCCCTCTACCAGACTTCCAAGATGTTCTTCATGCCCATAAAATTTCTGGCCAATGGGAAGCCACGCCGACGTGTTGTCATCAAGTCTCCGCCCCACTACTTCCGGATATAAACGGATGAAAAACGGAACAACCACGCAACGACGACATATTGATCCCCTAGAGCCACGAAGAACAGTGAACTTTGCGAACTGCCTGCTTAGTTCCCTAGCGTTGTGAAGAAGAAAAAAAAATGGACAGCTCAAACGTGTTGGTGCGGTGCCTCGACACAACCTCTAATGGAGTCTGGTACACCGAAATGGCGTTGGTGTTCACGAGCAATTGAAGGCAAGGCAACAGGAAACCGCCTGTGAAGGGGGGACGAGTGCCTCTCGAAGAGTATTTGCGTGAATACCGCAGCAGCAGTTAGTGGGCAAACCACCTGTGAACCATGTGGGCCCCATCACCTGTGGTACTTGGGTAACCACGTCCAGGTGGCGCTGTGCACCTCACAATTGTGTTACGCATCTTTTTTCTTTTGTTATCCTCTTTCTATGGACTATTTCGATGGACCGTAACTTTCCCTGTGTGTCGCGTTATGGAAAAAGGGAAGCAGAGTTTGTAATCTTTACCATAACGTCAACTGTCATCACTGGTCATCCTAAGTGACCAATATTGCTTAAATCAACGGAGTGGATGTCCTAATCTCTGGCTCCGCGCACGTTCCTCCCCCGAATATCTCTATACATCATTCGAGCGCTTATTACTTGAGCGAGAAATGTCGAACCAACGGGCTGTGAGCGCATGCAGTGACGTCTGACATGTTGCAGAAGAAAGATACTGCCTCCGTTCAGAACGCTTCCTACAGTCAAGGCGATTGTTGGAATGGTCTATAGCTGCGCGGTCTTAGCGCTAACTTTTCGTCTGCGGCTACGGACGTGTCGCTTTCGACATGTTTACATGTAGTACCTACGCCGACAGCCAGGAAAGGTGTCTTGCAGTTACATTGATGTGGTTGTGCCCGTGCTGAATTGATCGCGCAGCCGCTAGGGAAAACATGCCTAGGGCCTGTTGCCTAGAGTGGCCGGAGAACTGCAATGTTTAAAAACACATTCCCTGGACTTTTTTTTTGCGCGTCCACGCGTGACTTTGTATGCGGCAGTTGGTGCATTTGCGTGTTTGTATGGAAGGCTCCTAGATCCACATGTTGGTATGCCTGTTTGCGCGTGTGTTTAGGTGCGTATGTGTGCACATGCTCATGGACGATCGAAAAATGTGAAAATCAGCTATTTTCAGCTCGCAGATTCCATTTTTTCTTGTAGCTTTTGTCCAGCGAGTTACTTTTGTTTCCTTGTTCTCGAGACGACAGTGAAGGTTCGACTTACTCATGGCAAGTATTTCTTTGTTTTTGTTAATTAGGTGTTGATCATCAACGCGTATTCGTGTATGCCTTGTACTATTAGTCTGCTATTCAATGCGCGAGAAGGACGAACCCATCCTTGGTGATGTGAATTTATATAAGGATATTTCGTTTTGTTTTTCAGCAATCTCGTCTAGCTGTGTAACGTGTTTTTTCCATGAAATACTGCCCTGCCAATACCTCCTAAAGAAAAAAAAAAGGCCGCGTTGCTGGACCTTTCTACGTCACATAAAGGAGGCCAGCACGGTGCATAGATTGGACACGAAAGCGACGTCAACCGTTCGGCCGGGGCTCGTGTTTCTTCCGGGCGAACACGAGACCTCGCCGAACGCTTATATGATATTCGTTCCAGCCTGTGCCTCGCGCTGGCCTTCGGCGGGTGAAGTGAGAATGATCAGCGCAACTGATTGTTATCGAGGTGTTGGCCCTATTCGAGTTATTATCGAGTGGGTAGTACGCAGAATGAGAATTTTTTTCAGGTGAAACAAGTGTTGATGTCCTTTTCCACACCAAGAAAAAGTCAAAATGAAATTATACTTACGCTTTGTGTCATCATGATTCTCATGCTCAACACTTTAAGTCTTCAACCATACTCCTGCTGGGCGTTTGTGTTACGAGACTGCATTATATTTTATAGAAGTTTACTGTGCCTTCATCATTAAATATAAAAAAAATGCTGTGAGAGACTTTTAAGGGATCGAAATAAAATGAACCTTTCCCTCATGCCTCCGTCGAGTGGTGACAAGGCTGCTGCGTGTACATATGGAAGACGGTGAGTCCCCCTGTCCAAGTTCATCGCGGATCATCAGATGCCGGAACTATATACTGAGAACAAATGCCATTGACTCCCAGGCGATTGCAAAGGCCGTAAGAAGAGAAAGAGAGCGCGCGTTTCCAGTCCGGCCGTGAACAGACAAGGCAGGCTCCCTAAGCGACCAGAAACAAGTAATGTGAAAAGGCATTGACGAGGTCGCACACTACCCAGAAGGAGGAGTGGGGGAGGAAACATCCCCAAAGAAGGGACATGGTTGTCGCGAAACTGGGGGGCCACAGGAAGGGCATCGCGCAACAAGTGCAACTCCGATTGAAAGGGCAGACGCTAACCATCAAGATCCACGGAGTTATTTTCGAGAAGACGGCTCAAAGCACCAAATGCCTACTCGAGCTGGCAAAGACCTGTGACCACGGCACTCAAAATCGTCCGAAGAACAACCGGAAATTTGGGAATGGCCGATAAAAATGGCGTCAGAATCAAGATGGGGCACTTCTACATTTGAGAAAAAACGCTTTAATTGCGTTCATTTGGCCTTTAGATTAACAGATATCAAAATTGTATTTCACTGCGACGCGCCGGAGAGCCATACGAGCAATTTCAAAATAGGACTGAAGCCCCGCCTCCCTAGCCTTGGGCAGCCAAAAGAGCCGTCGATGACGTCACGGACAGCGACTGTCTTTCGCGTTTTTCTCGCGTTTAACAATACTTACGCAGCAAATGGTTTGGGTATTCGGGTTCACGGGGTAAAAATACACTAGAATTCACTTCTAACTCATTTTTTCCAAGAAGCTCCGTAGCTTCCCTTTAAGCACTCGTCCTCTCCAAAGCCGTATCTGTAGTTCTAATTGGGTTAACCCAAACAAGACCCACTGGGAGACGATGGAAAGAATCAGCCAGCGAGCTCTCGCTCACGCTCGTCTATGAAACTATCATTATTAAGCCATTGCTTGGAGCTGTTAAACGGCCTCCTTGTCTCGTTTATCACCTCCATAAAATGAGTCGAAGAAGCGTGCACGAAAGGAAACCGAGTTGCTTTCAGGCCCAGGTGATACGTTGCAACAATTTCCTTTTCAGTTTCATTTTCGCGGAAATTAGCAAATGATGATATCGTTGTTCAGCCTGTGCTACTTTCTTCTGATGAAGCAATCAGAGTATGCCCCTTAGAGATGAACGGCACGCGCAGATTAAAAAAAGTAGCTATGGCAATTAGGACCGTGTTCTTAAGAGTGTTCGAAATGGAAACGCGGAAGCCTGGTCGTTGGCGCCTCTGCTAATGAAAAGGCGACTGCTGGTGGAAGGTAATCGTACGCGTCTTTTCCTTATCTTCAGCACGCCGATTCAACGTTTTTTTATGTTGACTGGAAACGGTCAAGCACGAGAGTCAGTTACTGGCGGGCATTGACCGCTATCAGAGACGTCAGGCAAATTTGTCGTCAACATCATGCGGAAATCGTGTCTTAATTAAGAACAAATCTGTCCGAGCCTAAAAAAAAAAGCGGTCAAATTAATTCTTTTCTTTGAATATTCCTATTATTCTTCTAAAACCTGGTTTATGCATCATAAAATTCATACCACTGACAGCTTTAACGAGAAGTTCCCTAAGACCTCAAGATACTCTTGACTAAATGTGTACATTCCGTCGTCGGCATTCGTTTGATTATAAAGGCTAGTTGGTAATTCGTGCAAGTTTGAACATATGGAAGCTATGTTGCGCCACCTCGTGACAGCGAGCCTGAGACCGCCTTATAGGCTCGAAACACCAGGGGGCGTCTCTGAAGCCTATCGAAGCATTGCAGATGGCTGGTAGGCACCGATTAAGCCGAGTGAAAGGAACTGGAGCCACATGCCGCACGTTCAAACAGAAAGGGCGCACGCAAAGGCCAGAGCCGTTAACGTGTCACTCAACGTCCCGACCGTGGACGTCCGAAAGCCTATAATCGTAACTCGACGATCGCGTTCCAACAAAACTAACAACAACGGTCGTCACACCTAGGCTATGATTAAAACCGGAAAGGCGCGTACCGCGTTCAAAGAAAGAAGTGTGTAGAGGGAGAGTCAAGGGACTTTAGTACAGCCGCTTCTCGTGTCAGCGTGCAGTGCTGCTGAAGCTACGAGTCAATTTACGTCGCCCGGGGTGCGTGCCGGCTGGCGAGCACACGCGGCGTCATCGTCAGAGGCGCTCGAAATATCCTCACGTCAACATCCACCCAGTGAACCCTTGGGAGAGAGGGCGTATAGCTAGTCTTTCACCCACTGCTTAACTAGGAGGAAGACCGGACACTCGCCTTGTTTGCAGGAGACTGAACTATTAGAGGGACACCACACCGAAAGATGGCGCTAAGTTACACAACTTAAAACGGCCGCGTAGGGAGCCTTTCTATCTGGGCGGTGTGCCGCGTTTTTCTCCAGAGGTCTGTCACAGTTTGGTGTGAGTATTCTCATTGACTAAGGTCAACAGGAGGAACAAGGGATATTCCACGGCTACGGTGACAAGGTGGAAAAACGATCCAAATCTGACCGAAATGTTCGATCATCTCCGTCCACGACTTCAGCGGGGATATGATACGCCAAAATATAAAAATGTACGATGAACAAAATTGACTTTTCTTTTACTTGCCTAATGCACAAGGCTCCAATATATTCAATCTATTCTATACACCAATATGTTCAATATATTTTGTACACCAGGGGCCCTAAACTCATCTAACACAAAGTTAGGGCAGAAGTCTACGAAGCACACCGATTGTACAATTGCCATGATGACGCCGTGCTTTTATCGCCGAAGTGCAATCTGCGAGCTACGCGAACTTTCAGTTCCAGCTTTGTGTTTGACGAGCTTAGATACAGACGCAGCAGTCGCTACGAGCTGATGGGGCCAATCAGACAGCGTGAAAAGCGCACCATCACGATGTCCATCATGTTTGTGTACACGTTCTACACTCTAAAAAAAAAAGGAGTCGACAAGTGTCGACTCGACTCTTTT